AAGTGATAGAAGGAAGGCTGATGATGGTCAGAGCCAAGTTTGAGTGTTTCACTCTCACTTTCATTAATGTTTATGCTCCAAATGTCGGCTCAGACAGAGTCCGTTTTATTAATACTCTCAGTGACACTCTGACTAGTTTTGGTTCAGATGATTTTTTGTTTTTAGGGGGAGATTTTAATTGTACTTAGAATGATTCTTTGGACAGGAATCATGTTGAACCTCATGCTGCTTTGAAAAAGGCAATTAATGAGGTAATAAAAACACATGATTTGGTGGACGTTTGGAGGAGGTTGCACACTGAAGACCGACAGTACACCTGGGTGCATACAAGAGAAAATTTTATTTCTTTGGCCGGACTGGACAGGTTTTATTGTTTTAAACATCATTTTAGTGTTTTTAAGGCATGTAGTATTTTACCTGTACATTTTAGTGATCATTTTTTAGTGGTCTGCAGTGCTTTTATTGCAAAAACTGAAAAACGGAGTGCATACTGGCATTTTAACAGCAATTTACTCAGTGATGCTAATTTCAAAGATGTTGTGGTTTATTTCTGGAAGGTGCATAGGGCTGAAAGGAACAGTTTTGTTTCTTTAAGACAATGGTGGGACTGTGGGAAAGTTAAAATCAAACAGCTCTGTCTACAGTACACTCTGAATGTCATGAGGGACATTACTAGATCAATGACGACACTAGAGACTGAGATAGTGGAACTTTTAGGCTTGATTGAGTCCACAGGAAATCGAGAGCATTTTGAAGCCCTCAAATCTAACAAAGCTTTGTTAGCAGACCTGCTGGGCACCAAAGCCCAGGGAGCACTGGTTCGTTCACGTTTCCAGAGCATCAACCAGATGGACGCTCCGTCCAAGTTTTTCTTTGGCTTAGAAAAGACAAATGGGCAGAGCAGGTACATCCACACATTACAGTCAGCTGATGGGGAAGAACTCACGGAGCCTCATGAAATCCGGAGACGGGTGGTGCAGTTTTACTCTGAGCTGTATAAAGCGCAGCATGTGGAGCATGAACAGCTGTTTGAGTGTTTCAGTGAAGGCCTGCCCAGAATCTCCTGAGCTGGAGGAGCCTCTGGTTTTGGAAGAGCTGCATGCTGCCCTGCAGGGGATGGATGGACGGAAGGCCCCAGGTATTGACGGTCTTCCTGTCAAGTTCTACAAGACCTTCTGGAAAGAGCTTGGTCAGGACTTGTTAGATGTGTTCAATGAAAGTTTTGAAAATCAGACCCTGCCTCTGAGCTGCAGGAGAGCTGTGATAACCCTGCTGCCGAAGAAAGGAGACCTTCAGGACGTCAGAAACTGGCGCCCAGTCTCCCTCCTCTGTTCGGACTATAAGATCTTGTCCAAGGCTCTGGCTAACCGGTTGAAGCAGGTGATGGAGGAAATCATTCACCTGGATCAGTCGTACTGTGTGCCTGGTAGGTCCATCACAGACAACGTGTCGTTAATCAGGGATGTTTTGGATGTCTCTAGTTCTTTGGGCACTGACCTTGGTCTCATTTCGTTAGACCAAGAAAAAGCATTTGACAGGGTTGAGCACCTTTATCTTTGGAAAGTTCTGGAGCGTTTTGGTCTCAGCCCACGTCTCATTGCTATGATAAAAGTTTTGTACAGAGACATTCAGAGTGTGCTGAAGGTTAACGGGGGTCTGAGTGCTCCCTTCACAGTAGGCAGGGGTGTCAGACAGGGCTGTCCTCTGTCTGGGATGCTGTATACATTGTCCATTGAGCCCTTGCTACACAGAATCCGGTCCTGTATTCATGGTTTGGTTTTACCAGGTTTTAACACACCACACGTTTTATCTGCTTATGCTGATGATGTCATGCTCCTGGTCAGAAATCAAGCTGAAATTAATATTGTTGGAAATATTGTGTCTGAGTTTGGTCTTATCTCTGCTGCAAAAGTGAATTGGACAAAAAGTGAAGCTCTAGCAATTGGAAACTGGTTTGGTGGTCTTCCGGTCCTGCCGGGGGGGGGGGTTGGGATGGAGAAATGATGGTATAAAGTATCTAGGTATTTATCTTGGCAAAGAAGAAATGGTGAAAAGAAACTGGGAGGGCATGATAGAGACAATGAAAGGAAGGTTGAAAAAGTGGAAATGGCTGCTTGCTCAGATGTCCTTTAGAGGAAGAACTCTAGTAATTAACAACCTTGTAGCTTCAGCACTATGGCATCGTTTAGCTTGTATGGAGTCACCTGCTGGCTTACTCTCAAAACTACAAGCAGTTTTAGTGGACTTTTTTTGGGACAGGTTACACTGGGTACCACAGAGTGTGCTTTTTTTACCAAAAGAAGAAGGGGGGCAAGGCCTGGTACACCTAGCAAGCAGAGTGGCAACTTTTCGATTTCAATTTGCACAGAGATATCTGACTGGTTTTAAATACCCAGTGTGGAAAGAGTTTGCAAGCAGCATTTTAAGGAGAGCAGACAGGTTAGGACTTGACACTGCTTTGTTTTTAATGGATGTTGGTTATTTAAATTTGTCTGTATTGCCTGATTTTTATAAGGGAGTTTTTAAGGCCTGGCACCTTTTTAAGAAGAGACGGTTGGAGCCGTCAGTCTCCCTGTACTGGTTACTGAACGAGCCTCTGATCGGTGGATCCACAATGGACATACAGGACAGTGGTACACCAGGCCTCCATCACACACTCCGTTCTGCTGGCACTACAACTCTCAGACGGATAGTGGATGTAGCTGGACCTGGTTTTATGAACACTGAGGCTGTGGCTGCACTAATTGGACTAAAATCTGTGCGTCACGTGAGGAACATTCTGAATGGTTGGACTAACAAACTAACAGCAGCGGATAATGAGCTGTTGAGGATGTACTGGAAAGGTGAGGAAGCTCCGGACGAAGAGGACCCTTTTCCAGAGTTGGGACTGGTACCCAATCTTGACTGTTGTTCTAGTCTATTGTTGGATGTCAGGCATCAGAAGGTCCCAGATCTGCACACGGTGACGGGTAAAATGATTTACAGGTGTTGTGTGAAGGTGTTGTGTAAAAACAAGTTAAATGGTAGAAGTGACACAGTGTGGAGGGAGAAACTGGGGGTTAGTAACGCTGTGAAGCCCACCTGGAGAGTCTTTTACAAACTTCCTTTAAAGAAGCGTACAGGTGACTTACAGTGGAGAATATTACATGGGGCTGTTGCAGTGAATTCTTTTATCTCTGTGATTAATCCCTCTGTCTCTGACGGCTGTCCTTTCTGTGGGCTGCTGGAAACTGTTGTTCATTGTTTTTTAGAGTGCAGCAGACTGGGGGAACTGTTCAATGTGTTGGGGTGCTTGTTTTCTTCTTTTAATGAAGTGTGGTCTAACACTGCTTTTGTTTTTGGAGCAGGTTACAGGAAGACCAATGCAACAAAGTGGCAACTGTTAAATTTTATTTTAGGAGAAGCCAAACTGTCCATATACTTGAGTAGGAAGAAGCAGGTAGAAGGACGGCTGTGTGGAGACATAGTCCCTGTGTTCACCTCTCTGGTCAAAGCCAGAGTGATAGTGGATTTTAAGTTCCATCAGCTGATGAACAGCTTGGATGTGTTTGTACGTCAGTGGTGTTATGATGATGTCATCTGTTCTGTGGTGAATGAAGAAGTAAGTTTTAGTCATGTTTTCAGCTAATTTGATGTTTTTATTCGTGTGGAAGTGTTTTCTTTTTTCTAAATGTCAACCGTTTTTGATTCTCTGACTTATTGAGTGTTGTTATGTTTGTGAATCAGTGATGTTTTATTAAAGTGGGTTTAAAAAGCCTAAAGTCTCTGTGTTTCTCTCTCTCTCTCTCTGTTTCTCTCTCTCTCTCTCTCTCTCTCTGTGTTTCTCTCTCTCTCTCTCTCTCTCTGTTTCTCTCTCTCTCTCTCTCTGTTTCTCTCTCTCTCTCTCTCTCGCTCCGCATCTCACTGAGCAGCCAGAGCGCAGCACACAGACAGCAGCCTCTCCAGCTTCTCTCCCAGCAGTGTTTTTCTTGGCTGGATTTTCTTGTGTGGAGGTGAGTGGTGATGAGCAAAAGACTAAACTACCATTGCCTCGAGTTTACCGCTAATTAAACAAAAGACAAAAGACAATATAGGCCTAGGCCTGTGTCTTGCTAACGCATGACTCATGAGCTGAGCTAATGTTATAAGTTAGCTGAAGTTTAGCTAAGGCAATATCTCATGGCCATACAACCTAATGTACTGATGGAGACACTACAGGTGAACACAGTAACATTTGTGTCTAATAACGTCATCACAATCGCCACATTGATATGTAAATTAGGCGTTAACTAATTAAAATGCGCTAATTTGCACACATTTGCCAAGTCATTGCAGGTGAATGGGATAAAGAAAATAACTAAAGCATAACACCACAGAACCTCCCCAGTTAATGAATTACATCAAGAGTATTTTCCTCTGAAATGTGCTGTGTAAATATGCAGATTAGCTTGTTTTGGGTAATATAGCCTAAATCTACAGAAGCAAACAGACAGAGGTATTAGGCTTAAAACCAACACCATCTAAATGTGTGTTCTTGAAGTTTTATTTCCATTAGAGTAAAAGAAGACATGGAAACAAAATAGACCAAAGTCTCAAAATTGACCACTCCATGAAAAAGTGCCTTAAAGAGTAACTTCCCAGTTTTGATGGTAGGCTCCTCATCTAATAACTCTCCATTCTATTAGTTTGTTGTATGCTGATAGACCCTTATATAATACAGACAGCCCTCTCTCAAATGTGAAACTAAGTTCATGTCACCATCAGTAGTAAATGTAAATGTAATATAATAGCAACAATAATAATGTATTTGATCAATACATTAATGTATTCAGGCAATTCAGTATTCTGTTGCTTGGCTGTGTGAAGATGAAGGTTATCTTTACTTATTTGGCAACTTGCTTGTGAAACAAAAAGTAAAAGTATTTAAATAACATTTATTTTAATTATGCATGCAGCCCAATGCCACAGTTTAGTGTGAAGATTTATGTGAGTGTAGTGTTATGTATTCCAATAACACCAAAACAATTTAAACGATTTATTGGCTTATGAACAACCTATTAATGAAACTATGTCATAAATGTATACTTGAAACTAGTAGCATAGAAAACATGCACATTGTGGCACAGTTTCCTTTGCTGTCGCCTGCTCCTGTGATAAACCTAGTGAATACTATAGAAGGCCGTGGTCTCAGTGTGAACTGATTATTTTGTAGCAAAGTAAAAATGTTGTTGAGTTAATATATTTGTCTTGTTTAAAAAAATGCCCTTTTTTTCACTTGAGCCCCTGCCCACCAAAATGTCTGTGCACGTCCCTGCACCAGAAGGTTGCTAATGGGGGCAGCGTTTGAGATGACTCGATCCAGTGTGTGCCCCTTGGAGTGTGTGGGGTACATGTTGTTAGAGGTTGAGGCCGTCCAGTAGGAAATTTTCAATTATTATCAATGTTATAAAGCAGTGGTTCTCAAAGTGGGGTATGGGTTCCTTGAGGAGGTTCCAACAAGGCCAACAAGTAAAAGCTATTATATATTCTTATGTGGCCTCTTGCTCTGTCTTTTTCTCTTCTTCTCGTCGTCCGACAACATCTTCTTTGGTCTCTTTGCAGCCTCTGCCAATAGTGACAATACTGAGCTAGCTTCTTCCAAACAACTTACATTGTGCATTATATACTTTTTGTTTCTTGATGAAGAGCTGTGTTGGTGCCTTACACCATTGAGCAGTTGTTGCAAAATGTTGTTTGTATATGGGACTCCGATGTTACAAAGTTTTAATAACCAGCGCCCCAGCCCAGAGTGGTAATGACAAAGACGCCATTTACCCTTTTTTTGCGTTATTACAAGTCATTGTACCATCAAAATGATTCTGAAGCTGTTATTTTAAGATAAAATTACTACATAATGTTGCTTTAACATGCGATGACACAACATTATTAACATTATTAAACCCAGAATACAGAAATACAGAAAACGTCACTCAAGTTTGGTTACTTGAGAACAAGTTATTGCTTTGGGCCATCAAGTCTTTCTGATAGGTGTTCCTACTTGGTTTGAATGCAACGTGAATACATTTGATTTTGTTTCAAGGCTGCTACTCAGTTCAGTATATAACTTTACTGATATTTTACGTAATATACACAGTGTAAATTACAAAGGACTCAGAGAGCAATAATGCTTCCCTAAGGCTGAAGAATCTTCTAATCTTGTAATTTTGATGAAACATTTTGATATTTTCACTCAGCATCTGGATTGGGATCTGCATTATAATACACATAGTGATAGTTTCCTGAGTAGATGATATTGACCACGATTTTTTGCAAATATCTACATCCTGTCTAGGAAATCAAGTGACTCATAAACACTGAGTTAAGGCCATTTAAATTCATCATGCTACATGTATATACGTATATTTGAAGGATATCCTGCTAATGAAAAAACAGACAGACATGCCAACAAACAGGACCAAAAGCATTACCTCCTTGTTGGAGATTATAAAAGCAAGTGGAGAAATGATGCACATATTCCATTTCAACAGTTGTTATATAGGAATAAAATCTATTTCAGCTCCTAAGTGCTCTTAGTGGCTGAGACAATGTGCTGTATACTCATGGTGTTCATAGCTTCAAACCCGGTGCCATCTCTGCAGCTTTCATACCCTCTGGGCAGTCATCACATTCATTACCACAAAAAAAACCAAACAATTAAAATATAATAAGAATCTTTAAAACATTATCAACTCCAGTGTCAGCTCACATCCATGAGGCAGTTCAATAATCAAGACTGTCCATAACCTCAACAGAGGCACAGTGTGATGGTCCTGGCTTATGGTTGTGACTGTGTTTGTGGCTAATCCATGTCTATGTGAGGTGGAGGTGTGATGGGACACACAGGAGTGTTATATTCTGCATAAGCAGGGGGAAGATCATCAGTCTTAAATCCCAGCTGAAAAAACAGAAAGAAAAAAAAAAGAGATATTAGGGACGGTAAATGCTTAAGACATAATGGGACATGAAATAATGAACCCTGGTCTGGCTAGTAAAGGTTTCAGTTTTAATCTGTCATTGAGTGGTTTTGTTCCAGAATCACCTCATTGTATGAAGGTGGGGGCCCACAGTAGACTGAAGTGCTGTATCGTGGGGGTGTGTGGAGGTCCTGGCTGTGTTGAGGCACCCTGTGGTTGTCTTCACTGTCCTGCTGTGACATGCTACGGGGGAATGGGATGAAATATATAGAACGAGGATGTCCGTCCTGCTCACTGCGTCTCCACGCCTCCCTTTCTATCTCCTGCTCCCTTAAGCGATTGCACGCTCTGCAGAAGGTGGCACAGAACATGATGGAGAGGCTGATGCCTAGGACGCCCAGGAAGATCCTCGAAGAGGAAGAGGAGGAGATGGGTGGGAAAGATTGAGATGGGTGCAAAACAGAGGAAGATAGAGAGTGTGGGAAATGATAGGATGGGATTAGAATAGGAAAGACGAGAGAATGAAGAAGGTGTACCAATGAAGATGGAAAAGTGAGAGGAAACAGAGGGAGAGAGAGTGAGAAGTGAAGGTAGACAAATATGAATAAAATGTTCTTCATAATAAAAATGAAAATAAATTTAACTAGAATGCAACAAACAGCAGTGCAGATTCACACGCATCTCTCTCTCTCTCACACACACACACACACACACACACACACTCTGTATGGCTTTACTCTGTCCAAATCCATTTGTATTTAAAAATACATTATTGCTGTATTATTGATATAAATTGTAATGAAGCCTCTTTATTGATTTTATGAGAAGTACTTTAGATTTTGAACACAAGCCCTCCCAAATTCAAGTTAATTTGAATTTCTGTTATTTAGTTAGTTTGTTCATAAGAGGTATAACACAGATTTAGACCTCTATAGGGTTTGACTGATCCCAACTATAAGTAGTATCACTATTTAGTATAACAAACTGCACATTTATTTCTCTCTGAGTGACTTTTAGGCAAAGAAAAAGAACACTGTATTTGTACACATAGCTCATATCACATATGAAATGTGAAATATGTCCCTATTTGAAGTAAATACAATGCGTTATGGCCATTTCCATATTTCATCACCTCCATCAATAGTAGAAGCTCAGTTTGTGGTAAAGGGCAAGGTTAGTACTTTCATACTGGTCTGTTTTATTAAGGCCAGAAATTTTCAATTATTATCAATATTATAAAGCAGTGGTTCTCAAAGTGGGGTACGGGTTCCTTGAGGAGGTTCCAGGGGGTCCTCATCAATAAGGGGAATAATAATTTCATCCATAAGTAATACAATAACAGAATGTATGGCTTCTTTGGGTCATGGATTTCATACACTCTGTAATAAAACATCTAAAAGCAAAAACCTTAGGACAAAATCTTATCAAATGTGGGTCCGTGGTCTATTTTGTATCAGTTTAGGGGTCCTTGATGTTTGAAAGTTTATACAACCACTGTAGATTCAGTACATATAGCTGATGGGTCTAAGGGACCACTCAATGAGGACGGAAAGTCAATGTCAACAAAAAAGGGTTGAATTAATTACCCCAGAAACTTGTAGATGAAAAGAAATGTGTCTTACTCTAGAACGGGAATGTAAAAGGTTGTCATTCTTAGAACTGTGTGGATAAACTCTTGATGGGCCAATATGGAAGCGGAGTCAAAGTAAAAGCACAAACCTGAAGGGGAAACAGACAAAACATTGCATATTAATTTAACCATCAAGTGAATGCTTTATTTCTCTAAAAACACTTTATCCCTCTATAGCTGCTTAACATTGTGATGGTACTGATCCCACAGATCTCAGGTCAGGGGAAAGGAGCTTGATGCCTCTTCAATAACAAACAAATGCTCCATCAAAAAGGTAAAGAAATTGGGTAATGGGTTTGAATGAAAACAAACCGATAAACATAAATAAGGAAGCCTGCAGGCAGAAGATAATTGTAAGGCAAGGAAACTCAAATTACACCACCGAGTGCTCTGGTTCAGACACTAAGGTGTTCTATGATCACTCCAGAACAGGATATGGCCCTTCAGAAGATGGCAGCGCGTGCCTCATGCAGACCACAAGCAGTGTTTCTGTTGTGTCTGACACTACAGGCAAGAGCAGCAACTCAAATGGGATACAACAATAAAAAGGACGTGAACTTTTGGACATGGGAGAAAATGTATATTGGCCATTACTTATTTATTTATTGTTCTCTATGGCACTGACGTCTAAGTGAAACAAAATTCCGTTCCCCTGTATGTAAGACTATACATAGGCACCCTGATTGGCCAAGAGGGGAATCACCAAGCTGCCCTGCACCCTGTGTAACAAGTGATCTCAATGATCCTCTAATCAACCCAGAGGAAAAAAATAAATAGCAACAAACATGTATGAATGAGGAACTGCTACAACTTCATAGATTTTAACATGCTTGCCTTGTCGGATTACTTTATGGTGAGCCTATGTTGATGTCCTGTTAAACAGTTTTTTTTTTCATTTTGGATCAGTAGAAAGTATACTTTGAACTTAAGACCCATAAATGTTTTCCAAGACACCATGATCCAAGACTATTTTATTGCTGTTCCGTGGGTGGAGAGATAATATAGAGATTATAGAAGCACGTCTTTTACAGGAGAACATTTTATAAGCAGTAACCTCGTAAGGTTTACAGTCATTCAGTCTACCTACAATGGTTATTGTAACTAGTATGCAAAGATGGAAACAAATCAACAGGATGTTGAGGTAATAGGATATAAGGAGGTCATCAATATCAAAGTCTGACACAGCACAAGATGTGGTCTAAATATTATTTAGTGTAACACAGTTTCAAAGGACAACAAACCTGCCTTGATTTTTTAATTTATCAGATAAACTGGGTTGAAAAGATTCTCCTAACCCTATGCAGACCTTTTAAAAACCCATTACATTACCTGGAAAATACATTGCCACAAAGCTGAGAAAAGCACTGTTTTTGGTTCATGAAAAGTTGTTGTTTTGGAGATGCATTTGTTTTTAATAGGACAGTACAAATTTACTGATCAGGTCAGCAATCAGGGGCATATTGGCCCTCTCACACTGTTCAACAGATATATTATAGCACATAGAAAAACACCCTTGAATCACAAGTAAATGACTGTTCCTGTCATTCATATCAACAGACTCAGATTAACAGCCCAAAAACTGTTCCAGACACAGATCTTATGTGTCCCTACAGGAGCCTGATGCTGAGACTAAATTTAAGCAGGTTTGCCGCAGGTATCACTATGAACATGTTCTCACTCCCGCTTGGTCATGGCTTAGTGAAATTTATCACAGGTTTTGCAAGATATTTTGATATTTGCTACCATCAGGTGCTACCAAAGGTGATAAATCTTGATCAAAATTAACTGAACTCATCACTTGAACTTGGAGTGAAGTCAAATTTATTTATATAGTGCTATATCACAAATCACATAGCGCTATATAAATACATTTTTTTGTACAATTTGTGTAGTATACAACGCCCTCTGTAGACCCTCTGTTCAGGAAAAACTAAATTTCAAGCCTTTAAGCTGGAGAAAATTTTAAGAAACTTTGAGAAGAGCAACAGTGGAGGGATCCTGCTCCCAGGACATACAGATTTTGAGGTGGTCTAACAATTCCACTTTTTACATACAGTAAATTATTACGCACAAGCAAACAAAAGACCACAAAGATCACGATAGGTATGTGAGGTCAGAATTCACAATACATGATCAGCAAGCACATTGGAACACAGCTCAAGTCTGTAAATACCGACTAAACAAATAAGCAGCTGCAAATATGTTTACTTTGAGATAGGCCTACTTCATAATAAGACAGAATTTGATCAGTAACAGAAAGCAAAAGGATAAACTTCAGACTCTTACCTCCAGGCCAGAGACGACTTTCCTTCCCAGGTGTTTGACTGGGAGAGAAAACTCACTGGAGCAGAGTGCAGTTTCTATTGCGGGTGTGTTGATGGGGGGGAGGTGTGTGTATGTGTGTACATGGCGTGGCAATGAACACCAGCCCTGTGGTATATATAAGCCCCAGCACCTTAAGAACCGAAGTATGTTTAAGCTTGTGTTTAGCTAATACACATATGTGTATAAATATGTGCTTATATATTTGAATTTATGTGTTTTATCAGTTGGACTGTGTGTTTTATCAGTTTGTGCTAAAGGCTCGTCAGAAGGATTTATGGTAGCATTAGAAGATATAAAGAAGCCGCATCCTTCTGCGCAAGGAAATATTAAAACTCCTGAAAAAGCAATCAAGGGAGGGAGAAAGAAGACTTCAAGCCTGTTTCCCAAGTGAAGAGTGCCTTTATCTTGAGGTCCTGTTGTGTTTACATGAGTATAGTCAGTACTGGTGTTCCAGAGTCCAAGCAAGAGGTGAAGACACCCTTCTTCTTCTTTTATTTTAGACAGCTGCCAAAGCACTTGTAAAGCACGTGTGAACCCACATGCGTTTTTCTTTCATTTCAGGCATTGTTTTTCACAGGGGCTTGAACCAGGATGATGGTGGCTTGATCAGATTTAAAGTGGGGTTACTTGCAAAAGACTGACACAGAGGAGCTGTCAGGATTTAGATAGCCTGAGTTATGGGCAAAGAGTATAGTAAGTTCTTTGGTATGGGTCAAGCTCCAACACACCTGCATCCTACATTTACCAACTCAACACCCATGTCTTACAAACTCCAAACACCATCCCTGTTTGTCAAGAAGGCTGTCTGTTCTACAAACCCAAGCCCAGATAACCCCCTGATGACATCACCAGAGGTTATTTGAGAAATGTCCTTTGGAGCACCAGAATACATTATGCACCTTTGTCACAGGCCAAATAACACTGCCCTTGACAAGTAAAGGGATCTTATTGGAGTTTCCTTTTAAAGACAAATACTCCTTGAATAGTTCTACTACCTGCTCTAGTTCCGTTTTATACTGTGCAAGTGTGGGCATGTGTGGCTGAATAGAAACACCGGTGAACTAAATGGCTGTAAAATTACCTAAATGTAATCTTTACTGCTGGCAAAGTGTATGACCTGCTCATCATATCAGAGGAGTGAAAAGGTACAAAGGTTACATCCATATAACTCCCAGGGCTTAACATCCAAAGATTACCAATATTACTGTACTAACAATAATGGAATACATATAATAATAGAAATACAAATGAAAATTAAGTCAAATTAACTTTATTTGTCCAAAATATAATTTAACCATTCTCCTTACAAAATAACAGAATTGCTTTGAATCCTGTCTTACAGAAAAGGAATTTTGCAGTAGCATAAAACACTACTGAGTTGTTGAATAAACTTTTTTTTTGTAACTTCTTATCTATAGCGCACTTTCTTTTGTCATCTAAGAGAATTTCAAAAAAGTAAAAAAAACAAGAAGGACCAGTGGTGTCAGAATTCATAATTAGGTTCCAATATTGGAAATTCAAGCAAACAATGCAAAAACTGTATATGATTTGATTTTACAGCAGTGTGCTTTTGAATTTTACACATATTCAGGTCAGTTGTGGTTTAACAACCCTTACACAGTGCATAAATCTAACAAGTGCATTAGGATAACTTCAGATGAGGAGGAGTAGTCTGGTACATTAATATGAAAAAAAAAAAAAAAGTATATTTAGTATTTGTACAACACTGTACAATTTTCTTGCTGTTGCTTTCTGTGGGGATAATGCAACATGAATGAAAATGTACTTCACAAAAACAGGTTTCACACAGGAATCCTCATACATATTGAAAATGTCCCCACACAGGATCAAGTCTTCATTTGCTGGTTATGTTTTTTTTTTTTTTTATCTTTATGTTTAGCAAATGTAAGTCAAGAGTCATTGGTGTTAAAATCAAAGTTGAATTTCAAGAGATGGTCCAAGTCTTGCGACTCGCATCCACACCTCTTGTAGTTTCTGCCTTTAGCGACATACTTTTTTGTTTCCCCTGAAGCTACAAATCGTCATGCACGGCTCTGCGGGTGTGTTTGTCCAACCAGGCCTGGAGCACGGAAAGATTGGTGTCCATCCAACGGATGTTATCCTCTATGGTCTCGTAGGTCTGCCGGATACACCTCATCTCTGAGCCCGTCTCCTCGGTCAGGGAGCCAAAGAAGTTTCGTACCTGAGTGCATACAGTGTAGGTAGACTTAAAAACATATCCAATATTTGACATAACTTCCACCAATTCATGAAATAAAAAAAGCTAACCTAGAGAGAGAGGTTAATTTTGTGTAGTCAGAATACAGTGACAAATTCAGATGAACACATTGTATTTAGTTACTTAGAATGCCCTCTTTTTGTTAGTAGTCAGAATGTGAAGTTACAAAACCCAGTGATCAATAAATCAATTCACAAACTGCTGTTCATGGCTAGTAATTACTGTTCCCATTTGAATTAGTATTTTCATTGTTTTTGAGCATTTCATTTAAATTAGGAACTTAAATACAGAAAAAAAAGGAAAGACTGTAGATGAAATGTGGATTTTACTCTTATTTAGACAGATAAATAATGAGATACATTTCAAATGAAAAACTTAGGCCAGGTTCTTTCCATAGACAGACATAAGTAATAGAAAGCCAAAGGAGTGGTCTATAATGGACACACATCCTTGCTTACCTCATCCAGCATCTCCCTGGTAGAATACTGGTTGGTCACCCCAGTCACCATGTGTGATATAGTGTTGGAGCCCAAGTCAAATCTATGGCATCAAAGTAAACAGACACACAAAACCAAAGTTTCATTGTTTTCAAAAAAAGATATTTTACTGACTCGTTTAGAATCTTGAGGGTAGCCCATTTGAGTCTTTCTTATAACATGAAACACTGAAAAACACTCAATTGTAAAGTGTATATAAATACTGAAATTTAGAAGCATGTGTATGACTTGTCTGCAGGGAAGCTTGATTTAACAAGTATTTTATAAACATGAAGCATTCTTGGAGTACCAATAGATGCAAATCTTGTGTGAAAATTAGAGAGGAATGTATAGTATATGCATGGTGGTGCTGACTGACTTCTTGATCATGGTGTGCCAGTTGGCCCGGAGGAAGTCCCAGGCCAGCTTGTAGCCATGGGGGTTCTTGCTGACAGAGACGACCACATCTGGGAGGTCCTGAGTCTTCATCACCTCACCGTGGAGGCTCTGCTCCATCATCCTGCAGACAGACATAAGCGTAAAATGAAAGGGTAGAGCGAAATAGAGCGGAAGACAAGAAGAACGAGGATACTGAAAGGGCAGAAAGAAATGGGAATTAAGAAACCCAGGGGGAGATAGCAGAGAGTAGGGAGTTGGAGAGTGTAAAAAGAATGGGAAAGATAATGCTTGTAGAAGTGTGATATAATGTACCCACCACTTGAGCTTGTCCTGCAGTGGGCTGACGGCCATTGCAACCTTCATACGGCTTTTCACAGACAACTGCAGGGAATGGCGGTACTTTTCAAACAGGAAGTTCCACCCCTCTGGTGTTCGAGCTCCAATCACAAACACTGCCATGGTGACGTCGACAGGCAGGCTGAAAAACAGAGAAGACTTTCAGTTCAGTAACAATAAACATCTCTACGTATGATTGCTTATCAATATTAAAAGTGCAGCTCTGACTACAGGAAGTATTTGTGGACAAATATCTAAAGGCGTGCTTTTTAGGACTATGATCTCTGACCTCATGGTGCCATCCGAGTCCTTCCACTTGTTAAAGAGCTGGGTGGCTTTGGTCAAACATGGAGCGTAGTTCCTGACGCAGGCGAACAGAATCAGGTAACTCCTTAACATTCGCTCAGACACTGATCCAGAGTCAGTCCATTCCTGCCGATCAATCAGTCCCCGGAACAGATCCACGATGTAGCCCTGAGAAACACATGTAGTCAGTGTATAAATCTGACATGCTGACCATGTATCAATTCAGATTTTGCCAACTGATTAACCGTTTTAGCAGTTTATAGATAAAGGTTTTACTATAAATAGATGGGATTGGTTGGATTTAAGTAAACAATTTTTAAAAGTTCACTTTTAGAAAGACAGATAATGAAGAAATTACTATTTTTAATATTGTAATTTCCATTAAGAAATTTATGAACCAGAAATATGACTTCAGCTTTATATTCATGGTTTTTTGACTGTGGGTTTGTTTTACAGACAAAATAATCAATTAATGAAGTGTCCCAAACCCTGTGTAGCAATATGAACAGGTTCACCCTTAAGGCAGACCACATTCATGCATTTTACTGACATACTGTCAGTTTTCTGATGTGCCATAAACGCTGCCTTCGCTAACCTTCATCTGGTTCTCCAGAGCAGGCATGTCTCTCTTCTCCATCAGTTTGTAGAGAGGCACGAGCTCTCCAAAGCCCTGAGTCACGGCCATGATCTCAGTCTCTTTGGACAGGTACAGAGACAGCTCCAGAGCCGTGTCCAGCCTCACCTTCCCTATACTGCAACACACATACAATATTTTTTAGGTTAAAAGCTTAAAAATGGCTGATTAAAACCAATCAACCAATCAATTTTGAAAACCCACACACCAGTTTCAGGTAGTAAGTAAATAAAGATGCTGATTTATATGCTGGTGTTTGGCTAAATGTTCTTTATGGGAATTGTCAGCTTGATTAAAATTTTTCTTGGAGCCAATCAGATTCCTTCACTAAACTGATATATAGTGATACTATAGTGTGATGCAGGACAAACAGCACATTCAACTGTCATTATCAGATCTTTAAACTGACCTGACCAACTGGAAGACGTTGTGGATGAGGCTGGCACGGTCGTTGCTGGTCAGGGCTGTGTGGTTGTGTAGCAGCAGTTTGATAATAGAGTTCCACCCTTCGCCTGCGTAGTGGACCATGTAGTAGCCGCTCATGTCCACATTGAACTTCACCCAGTCCACCTCCTCCGGCAGGTACAGGACATCTGCAGAGAGGAGTGAAGAGAAGCTTTGAGGTGACTTGTAGAATTCAAATTGTATGTATGTGGATAAAGGACATAAATATAGCCATCTAAAAATCATCCTCATCACACTGAGCAACACACGCACCAGTCTTGGTCTTCAGTAGGAAGCGGTGGATGGTGTTGGAGGCGCTGGTCACGTAGGTCAGCGGGATCTGCCAGTGGAATCTGTCAACACAAATGAAAATGAATTAATAAACAATACATTATCACACTGTTTAAGACGATACACTTAAAATCATTGTGGAAATAAAATGTAACAATTACTGAAACTATATATTTAGTGAAAGAAGATGACACACTTTTCACTGCGTGCTTCAAAAACCACTACACAATTACATTATTATCCCCAAAAGGAACTGTTTAGAAAACTGCACTTTTGCGTTTTTGTAAGCCAGAAGTTGCAACAAATGATGCAGCGATTTAGCTATAAAATGATGGATTTTTTAATTTAAGATACGACATGTCTGTTGTATTTCAAAATTCCTTCCTTTGTCACTATCTGGTGGCAGCATAAAGAATGACACCGTGGCTTTAAAATATATTTGAAATGCGGGAAGGGGGATCAACAACTGATACTTTACACTCATCTTCTAACATTTTACCCTTCAGTGAGGGAGGTGTCGTCTGTCTTCAGGTACCGCTCCTGACTGAGCCTGACCTCGCGACCTCTGACCTCCACAGTGACCAGTGGGAAACCCTCCTGCAGCGTCCAGGTGTCCATGATGGCTTTGACATCCAGCTCATCACCAGAATACCATTTCTGCATTATGTACACACATAACACATTTAGATAAATTATGTATCATAATAAACAGTGACAGATTTGTGGCGTTGTGCAATGGACACTATAGAAATACAAAAATACTGTATTTGTGTAGTAAGTAGCAAAGTATGTATGTATAATAGTAAAAAATACTGAGAACCATAAATATGACACGGGTGAAATTCCACTTTGATTAATCATGCTTGCTGAGCTTAACTCTCTTTGCTCGGTTAGAGTGCTTTGTTGAACCTGGTTGTTGCAAAGCATGAAGACTTACAGAGGCTCCAGACTGGAGGTCACGCTTGGAGCAGAATTCTTTGTGTTTCTTTTGGCCTTCGTCCAGATCATCTGAGTTGCAGATCTGGTGGGGAGGCGCATAAAACTTTAGCAGAGAATCATAACAGTGAAGACACATTGAGCACACAATCTTAAAAACACCAGGTCCCAAATGATGTATTCACAACCATTCTAGTGATACTTGGAGGTTACATAAGGAGGAAAATAGTGGTGATGGCGTAATGGATAAGACTCATGCCTTTGGGGTAAGAGACCTGGGTTCAATCCCCCACTGTGACCCATCCACCATTGTTTCCCTGAGCAAGACACTTCACCTTAAGTTGCTCCAGAGGCATGCTAACTCTGACATATATAGCAATTGTAAGTCGCTTTGGATAAATAAAAGTGTCACCTAAATATGTAAAATAAATATTGCTTATTTGTCCTCCAAACAAGATTTGCATCACAAGTTAAAAAACAGGTAACACTGGGACAGGCCATATTAACTACCGAGATAAAGTTAAGTGAGAACCATATCACTCACATCAGTCAGGCTCTCCCACAGGTGACTGTTGACAGTGTTTTGGTAGCTGTAGCGCTTGAGGTATCGGATGATGCCAATCTCAAAGACCTCAGGAGTCAGGAAGTCCCGCAGCATATTCAGAATACATGCTCCCTACAAAAACCAAAAACACAGACATGCTGAATAGTATGTCTAAAATCTAAAACCTTTCTGTTGTTTCCGCTGTGAATATCTCACCTAAATTTTAATGTTTTGTTTTGCAGTTTGGGTTACGCTTTTAGAATAACTCATTATGATTTAAGGAAAATTACTTTTGATGAGTCTACTTTCCCCCAGATAATTGTTTCAACAGTTCCATCATCCACATGCATCAACACCAAATGGTTGGACACATGGAGGCTGACCTTGTCATATGACACATCGTCGAACATCTCCTGGATCTGCGTGGGGTTTTCCACGTGGGTGGAGACTGGGTGAGAGGAGCTGAGGGAGTCTACCTCCATGGCCTCAAAACATTTCCCCAAGAAGAAGTCATCCTGGGAGAAAGAAAGTGTGTTTACAGTAACACACCCATGGCAATGTCAACATAAACTAGAAATACTGTAGTTTGAGGTAGCTTATATGTGAGTCTTCATAGTCATATCTAACAAAAAGCTGATGGCAAAAGAGTTATTCAGCTAATGTACAGTACTATACTTTAATACTACACAGTACCATTAATATCTTTTTTTGCTATGACAGTAAACAATTTATGAATTTAATTAGAAACAGAGACAGAAATAGAGATACACAGCAAATGAGAGGATCAAGATCAGGATAATTCACATGTTATAATTAAGACACAGTCAGTTCCCTGTACTCGGCTCTCACCACATGCAGCTCTGGGTAGGTGATGTCGAGAGAAATGAACTCCATGAACTTGGCGAAACCCTCGTTGAGCCACAGGTCATTCCACCACTCCATCGTCACCAGGTTCCCGAACCACTGGACAGGCAGGAGAACATGTGAGAACAGCTTCACGTGCAGGAACAGTGTTTAAAATACAAATGCATCCTCACGTCTGGTCCTGTTAAACTGCACTAAAGACTCTGGATGTGACAGATCTGTAACGTGCTGACATTTAGCCTCAGCTTGTAGCATAAGACTGCGTCTTCCAACTTCAATCCATAATCGGCCCGTTAAAGTGAAGCAATTGTTCTTGAACAGAATGATGAACATTGACTATTTTCTTTCTTTTTTTCAAAAACATGCAGGCCGGCTACCTGGTGTGCAAGCTCATGGGCGATGACCTTGGTGATACCCAGTTTGTCTGAGGCTGAGGACTTGTCAGGGTCAAAGAGCAGGCCCGTCTCCCTGTAAGTGGTCAGACCCCAGTTCTCCATCGCACCTGACTGGAAGTCAGGGATAGCAGCCAGGTCTGCAAGGAACAACAGCAAGCACATAAATACAAATAAATGTGGTACATTCATGTCACCTGCTGGTCCAACTAGGTGTCTCTTCAATTCTCCTCTGAAAATTATTTTTTGGGTGTTAATTATTTCTATAGGTATTGCTGTTTTAATGTCAAAGTGTTTAATGTAAAAAAAAAAAATGGACATATGTTTAATCTAGTCAGGGCACAGAGCACTTGCAAAGTTACTAAGTACTGTAAAAATATGTACATTACAACATAAAACTCTGACTAATTCAGTTAGTTCTTCGTGAGTCAAAACAGTAAACTTAATCTTTACAAAACGTTTTACAAAATAAATACTGCAGCTACTGCTATTAAAAGTGGCTACGTCTTAATAACATGGTAATAACATTTCCACTGACCCTGTTTGGGAAGCGGGTAAGGAATATCAAAATAGTCATCATAGAAGTCCAACAGCTTAACAGCAGCATCCAGCGCAAACGCGGTCTGGTTGATCCTCTCAGGTACAGCGTAGATTGAAATCTGATGGGAATCACAGTACAGAACAAACTCCTCTGTATTAATCTTCAAGCAATATGCTTAGATCAGATTAATACTTAATATATACGTTATATCAAAGGAAGCATGTTGTTATGTGAGAATTTCAAATGTTTACTGTATACATAATTTTGAAAATGTCTCCGAAATACAGTCTCTGAGTAAGAGAACTAAATGATGGCATGGCCAGCGCCTGTTGTCCTCCTCACCTTGACACCGTGCTGCGTGGTCCTGCTCACAGACAGGAAGTCAGACACAATGTAGGCCACCAGGTAAGTGCTCATTTTTACAGTGGTGTCGAAGTGATCCTCAAGCAGGCCACCTGGCAACTCCACTGTCCTTACCTGAGAAACACAGGTGTGTAGTGATGAAAATTAAGAAAAGAAAAGGGTCAGTCGCAGAAAGAGTACGGTGATTAGAACCTTATGGGAAGTAGTAACACTTCTTTCCTGTGTTGTGCGCTTCTTTATTAAAGTTTGATTTTGTCAACCAGATTTTATTTGTAATAATTGCTCACTTGTATTAAAACAATGTAATCTGATTATTCGTGTGTACCTTGGGCATGTTGGATATGGTAATGTGGCGTGGCTCTCGTATCATCTGTATGGTGAAGTTGGCTTTGAAGGCGGGCTCATCAAAACAGGGGAAGGCTGCGCGAGCAAAGGTGGCTTCAAACTGCGTGGATGCCAGAACCCTAAATATGTAAATAAATAATAGTGAAATAAAAGTTATTTAATGTTTAACACAACATGCTGTAAGAATAATAAAAGACTAATGAAAGCTGCTATGTAGCATTTTCAAAAATCTATTTATCACTGCCATCATTACCAAATATATTGTGTTTGAATTAATGTGAGGCTGATTCAGTGATTTTAAAATGATACATAGTACTCCTTTAAAAGAAACATATTAGTTATTCCTGCCCTTACCGGACCTCCCCACTGCTGGTGCGGTAGCTGCTCTTGTAGAAACCGTGAAAGCTGTCAGACAAGTTGGCAGCAAACTCCAGCTGAACTTCATACTTCCTACCTTTGGTCAGCACCGAGTCTGACAACAAGGCGAGCTGGTGGAAACGAGGATACTCCAACACCTGGAGGGGCCTCACACCTTCAGGTGCAAGAAGCAGCACATTGGATACTTGCATCTGCTTGGCATGGAGAACGATGGTGCTGGTGTCTTCGTGCACGTCCAGCTGGATGCGAACTACGCCGGTGAAATCGAGCGTGGTCAGGTTGGGGTGGATGGTAAGGTCATAGTGGAGGGGGGAGACGGTTTTAGGAAGTCTCATGTGCTCCCAGGGGAATGGCTGGCCGTTGGTGGCTATGGGGACAGCCTTGGCTTGGCCTTGGTTTGGTAACTGCGCTCCTGATGAAGAAGGGAAGGGAAGGAACAGCAGCAGCAGCAGCAGCAGGAGAGGTAACATGGTGAGAATGAAAGCAGGAAATCCTTTTCACCTGTAACACAAAGATCATATAAATGCACGATGATGTGTAGAAATGCTTTATTGTACATAACCTACATTTTATTTACATAACACATCTTATTTCCTAAGGACCAGGGGACAACCTGGGGACAGTCCTGGTTGTTCTTAGAGAACAACCACGACTGAATTTGTCCACTGAGAGAGCATGTAGCATCACATTTCTTAGGTGTAGGGGTCACATTCTTAACATCTATCTCGTTTTTCCAAAAGCTCACGACTGTGCAAAGTTCATCAAACGACTGCTAAGCAAACACAGGGTAAATAAGGCAATGGCTACACACAAACATGACAGGTGGGCAGGAAGTGCATCACGTTTCCATTCATTTATGGTCACGAATTCCTATTGAGAAAACTCCGGCTGGTATATCTATTGTTATCTTACATTGTTAACATGAGTCAATTGCGTACCATATAGGCCTATGTCAAAATCAACTTACCGTGTCGTCTTCTGCACGCCGATATAGCACAAATAATTCAAGAGTGAAAGTGAAACAGACGAACGACAAGTTGCATGCTGGGAGAGATCAGAGGAAACGTCCAATGCGTTTGATGTCAGTTGAGGTCATTCAGTGTGACTCCACTACCTGCAGCTGTGGTGATATGATTGTGCATTTCAGATAAAATGATTTTTTTTTTTCATTTCAGGACGTCGTTTCAATGTCTGCAGCTTGTACAGAGAATCCAGGAAGTACGAGTAATAAATACATGCGAAACCACCAAATAAGTAACAACTGTATCACTCTATGGTTATACAAACGTACTAAAGCAAGAGCGCCGTGTCTTAAAATAGGAAATTAAAAGAAACATCGACTGTGAACAGGAAGTTCCCGCGTTGTTGTGTTCCGCAATAATATATTTATCCTCTAGAGGGTACCATTGCTTTGATTTAAGACTATTTCTGTTTCCTGTAGAATCATGTGATGTTCAGTTTTGTTCAGTCCAGTCATCCTATGTAGCCTACATTTGACCAAACTAACGAAATTAATTAAGTTTAATTAAACTGAAGAGTCAATTATTTCTTTTCCAACACCAACAGGATTCATTATAAAATAAGAAACTAAACTCAACTGTTTGACCAGCAAAACATACACTATGGTTCATACTGACTACTCTGTATCCAAAGCACATTAACTGACTGGTTAATAGAATAGATCAGTTATAAAAATGTACAATTAAAAGATGTCTGTGAAAATTCTACACAGTTAAAAAAAATCATCATCTTTCCTCAAACCCTGAAGTCAAGTGGTATGATGTGGCATGATGTATTGAAGATACAAGTAGACCATTGACCTGTTTGAGTCCATCATCACATCAAATAATAAAATAGTTTTAATTGAATGTACAGTTTACAACAAATGTAGGAGGCAGAGATGGTCACTTCTACAAGTTCCTCGGGTGAAACTCAACAATACACTGGACTGGACGCATACAGGAAAGGACAGAGCAGGCTGTTCTTTCTGAGGAGGCACAGGTCCATCCATGGGTGCACTAGGCTCTTACATATGTAAGAGCCTAGTGCACCCATCTGTAGTGGCCAGTGTCATCTTCTTTGCTGTGGTGTGCTGTTGAGGTGGCATCGGGACTTGTGGCGCTAACAAACTGGGAAAGCTGGTAAAGAAGGGCAGCTCGGCGGTGGGGATGGAACTTGACAGCATGGAGGCAGTGACTTAGTGGAGGACGAGAGAGAAGCTGAAAGCCATCAAAGACAACCCCTCTCATCTTCTCTATGCTGAGCTGAGGCAGCTCAGGAGCACTTTCAGCCACAGACTTGTCCAGTCCTGCACCTCAAAGCAAAAAGAGGCTCATTTGTGCTCACAGACATCAGAGTGCACAATGCCAAAGCACCCAACATTTCCCTTCTCCGCTGATAGACTCTTTTTTTATTTGACATAATGTGTATATATTACTGATTCTAATTTATTGTTTGTTATTAATTCTTTGCACTACATTCCCCTGTGCTGCCTCACCAATTTGAATTTCCCCCATAAGGGATCCATAAGGAAACATCTTATTATTATATATTATTTTATCTTATACACACACACTGTAAACCCGAATAAGTTCAGAATACTCAGAATATTTGTGGAAAGCGATTACCTCAATCTTTTTAAGTAGTGGTAATACTATTTTTGAGTAAACCTTAACTTAGATATAATAATTTTTTAAAAACCTTTAATTTAATTTCCGCATACAAAATTACATTGATTCACTGATGCTTATTAAAATTAAATTCCACTAATTCTTTATTCAATAAATGTAATTGTGCACAACAATTCAAGTTCTCTTTATTAGTATCATCTTCTCACAACATCTTCGTGTTTTCTACATTTAGCAGACACAAAATAATGCACATCTTGCATAAAGTGTGGACAAAGAATGGACAAAGTAATTGACTGCTTGATCAGATAATTAACCAGCAAGAGTTTTGATAATCAATTTGTTTTCATTCTTTTTTTGCAATAATGTTGAACATTCTCGATATCCAGATTCTTAATGAGATTATTTGGTGTTAAGTGATAATAACTTGAATCTTGAGCTAAGTTAAATTTCCTTTTACTACTTACTTTACTGTGTTTTGTGGACAAAGCGACTATGCATAATTTTATACCATCAGCAGCACTTTTAATTAAATAATATAAAAGAGAGCTTTAAATGTACAGTTTTATGGAATCATAAGCCAATAAAGATAGCTAATAAAGATTGTGTAAAATAAGAAGTCCCACACTATGCAAATTTTTAAGTCAGGTAGATGAAGTAATGGAACAATATCAAGGTTTCTGCAGGTTTCAAAGACCTTTTCAAGACCATTATGAATGAAATTTAAGACCTATATCACAACTTAAAAAAAAAAAACTCACAAAAGGAAATGCAGTCACAAATTGCAAAAAAAATCAATGTATTCAAATTAGGGTAGAGTGATGTCTACAAAATTGGCATCGGATGATGTCAACAATGAAACACCGGGATGGACAATGACATTGATAATACGTAACTAACAAGCTGGCATGCAGTGCACCTGCTGACGTGAAAAATAGATCACCAGTAGAAAAATCCAGAAAAATAAAGAGTTGTGTCTTTTTGACTTAATAAAACTTAACCTACTGCTGATGGATAAACTCAGGGGAGCAGACAGGGAGACAATAATAAACTACACCCGAAAAGCTAAACTTGCTAAATAAGTCTACTGGGGATTGAATTATAATTCAATTCCGCATAATTATTAGATCTCGGAAAATTCTTTAGTTTTGATGCACTCCACAGTGATTTTATATTCATTGCGCAGCACTAGGGCTGGATGATATGGCCAAAAAAGTTATCACGATTTTTCCTCAACAAAATACACATCTTAATAAAAAAGTTAAGTCCTAATTCAAGTGAATAAAATCAAACATTTATTCAATATTTATTGAACATTTGTTATATTGATATTGAAAAAAAATATATCGTGATAATTATTGTTATTAATTTATTGTCAAGCACTAAGCAGCACCAAGCTGTTTTGAGCCTCACCACCTTATAATGGCAGGAAAACAAATGACCTCAGAATCATTATTCTGTATTATTATAAGCATTTCATTTGTACATCAAATCCAAAAGAATAATCTCCTTATTAGCTTAAAAGGACTAACTTTAGTTTGCATCCCTAATTTGCTTTAACGTTACTAACCTCAGCTCCTCCGTGGTCAACACCGTCCTCTTTTAATGTATCTATCAAGATGTCCAATAAAGGACAGAGCTGTAACCAACTTAATGCTGATCTTATCCTCCGCTAACTTTCACCGTCACTTTTTGTCGCACTCTCCCTCACATTCGCTTGTCATTTGAAACAAGATGAGAGGGAGACAGCCATGCGTTGAGTGTTGCCATAGTTTATTGAAAATCATTAACGATCGTGTGAAATTTTAACAGCGGCGCTCATTTATTAAGCAGCGACAGTAGACTTCAAATACGTTGCTAGAGACTGGTTTTAAGCCCTAAGATCTGTTTTTCCATCCAAGAACCGATAAGGTTGCACTTCCCCATAGCTGAAGAATAAATCTGTTTTATATCTGTGGTACAATCCGAAAGACTTGTGCCAATAACATGAAAGCTGCCTGTTGGTCTTTGTAGTCGTAATACAATTTGGACTAGCGACAGAAAGAACTACACCACCATGGGAGGAAAAACCCTTCTGGAGAGCTATGGTGCCATTTCAATGAGCATTAGAGGTAGCGTTACATGGACGCTGGAAAATAAATATCCGTTTCAAATTATTTAAGACCTAGAACACAAACTTCAGCGAATTTAAGACTTTTTAAGGCCCTGCAGAAACCCTGCAGGACGTCTACCTGAGAGGTGCTGTTATCAGAGCAGCTCCTTTAATCTGGAGGTCTCAGAGTGATTGTCCAAGTGACAGAAAGTGAAGGTGAATCTCAGAGGAGGAAAATATTCTGGCAGTAAAAGTACGGTGTTGGTGTGTCAGTCAATAAATGTTTCAGCTTCTCCAGAATAACAAAAGTCTGTTCCCAAACGGCTAGAGAAGTGAAGCAGATTAACCAACATCTCCCCTTCAGACTGGAAGCTGAGCAGGAAGCTAACAGAACGTCTTTTAGTTAAATTTATAGAAAGTAACAAGCAGCTGTATTTTATTCCAGCCTACCCATCCAGCAGAGAGAAAAGAGGTGTTCAGCACAGTCCTGAACACAGACTTAACATTGATGGGGTACAATATTTGGGTCACACATAGCGACTTGTCAATCACAAGGTAGCCCCGCCCTAATGCCTCCCATGCTTTCTGGTCTATTTTCCTCTAAATGGGACAATAATTTACTAAATGAACATCATGCTGTGTTGAAGAAGACTTGAAACTAGCGACTGAGACCATATGTGATCCAGTGGAGTGGAGTCGCCCCCTGCTGGCTGTTAAGAGAGAATGCAGGTTTGAGGCTTTACTTTTCAAACCTGGAGGTTCCTTCTTGGTGAAGACACAAAGCTGTTTCCTGGTTTCACAAATCAGACACATAAAATATCAAATTTCCAAGACGCAGATTGTCAGGTTGTCCTCACAAACAGGAGCAGGTGGAAGTGGGGCTACGTACCGAGGTGCTGCTGGAGGCGCTCTCATCCTCGTTGTTGGTGGGCAGAGCCGCTCCTTTCCGGGAGCGGGGCGAGGAGGCCGGAGCCTTACCTGGGCGAACAGGTCGCTGAACCTGTAGCAGGAGGAAGTGAAATCATCAGCCACCACAGTCGGTGTGTGTGTGAGTGCGTGCTTACCTCATCTTGTGGAAATCGTCACAGCTGACCTGAATGGCCAATTCAGAAGTGCTTTCCGGAGTTTGTACATGAGTTACATTAACATTTAAATAGTGCTGACCCTGAGTAGTCGAAGCTTCGATGCTTTATGGGCGGAGCATCGAATCTTCTCCCAATCAGTTAATATAAAGCCTATTACAATATAAATTTCAATGTTTAATGCTGTAAATAAACATGTAAAAAGAAAAAAAAAAATCAATAAATGTTTTTAAAGTGCGTAAATAAACCTAAAATTGTAACCCTAACCCTGGGTCGTTAGTGCACATGTGTAGGCGTAGTGTGTATGTGTGTAGTGGCAAAAGAGGACTTGCTGAAGAGACAGAGACCCAGCTTCACCGGTGTTGTGCCGAGTTGTCCGTAACTCGAGGGACTTAGATCATTTATCACCGTTGATGAACCAAACAAAGAAAATTATAGCATTTTTAAATTGCTGGATACTCGAAATAGACCCGCGAGGAACCGCATTGGAAACTGCATGCAG